AGAAGAGGTATTTTCTTTTTATATTAATGAAATGTATTCATCTATATTTATACAGTCACTTTGCTCAAGTGAGCAATTCTGTTAATTTATTAAACAAAAGTTAACAGCATTCTTATTACAAGCTTACTGTTATTACGCATGTGTTTGTATAATTATAGGCATAAAGCCTTGTTTATGCACACGATAAGATTTCATATCTCATTATATATACTAAATAGCTTTCTTTTTTATTGGTTCAGTTTATTTGAACATGATATTTTAAACTATTTAGTTAAGTTTTCAACAATAAAACATGTCGCATATACGATAGTCGTAACAATATTATCAAGTTGTTGTTGAAATCACCTTGTGATTTAGTACCTCAGTTCTTTCTTTTGTGTCGGCTTATCATTTCATTTTATTTTTTTGAATATTTGATATTGAATCATTCAATATGAAGTTTATAAACTGTAGATATAATGAAAGATTCAAACTCACTTATAAATATAACTTGAACTAGTTTTTTCAAGATACTTTTCTGTGACATACAATTTAGATCTTATTATCACATTTGAATGTGATGTAAGATCTCCTGATTATATTATTTTGATCATGTTGACAAAAATATTTTCACTCAATTTCTCACTTGAAAGTTCAATGTCTCAATAATATCTAGTCTGTGTTTAGTTAGAAATTTCTTTAAATTGACTGAGACATTGCCTTTTCATGTAGAAATACTGTTGAAGTGCAAACGTTGGTTTTTAGTGCAATAGATCTTTTCTACGATGAATCCAACCAATACATTTGAAAACAGTTTCAGACTCAAAAGACTGAATAGAACTCGAGTCGATGATACAACATGGGTTTACTATCTCAGCACTTGGTTACTATTTAGACCTTGACTAAATATCACAGGTTTTTGTAATAATAAAGTAGACATATAAGACTACATTTAGCGCTAGAAAAATGACAGAGTAAATTGTGGAGTAGCCAAATGCCATTAGTAAATATGAATCAATAGATGTGGGACCCATACTTGCCATCATAATGTAGGTGCGTCAATGTTGGTGGATGGATTTGAATGTGGATAAAGAGAAGATAGTATGCCACATGTTCACTTCGACACCCACACCCAAAGTTTTCTGTCAGCTAAGCCTTTTAAATGATGATTGTTTTTGTGGCGCCATCTTTGATAAAAAATCAATCTGAAAGTCTAAGCGAAAATAGCCGCTGTAGCTTGTATAGGTTGTTGAAGTGCACTCATAGTAGCTGAAAAGCGTGATTTCGAGTGAAATCTATCATTCTTTTAAGAGTTACAAGATATTCATTCAGCAAGATAGAAAAAAAATCAAGCGGAGAAACCGAATGGTAAATCACTAGTTTTCAACTGGTTATTGCGACATTGTTACACATATCATTCTAATATCACGGAGTATCAACATGACTGCTTATCAAAATTCGAGTTGCAAAGCAAAGAAAACTGCTTCAATGTAAGTAATTCGTCCTATGAACTCAAGGTATTTTTGAATTATTCAGAGTTGTCATTCCTTTACTTTTTTACTCATTGATAAAAAGAAAAAAAAATCCTCTTATGAATCATTTCTTGCATATATAAAAAAGCATATTTTGTTCTTGTTTTTTTATTCGCACCTTGTCATTCAACACTTAAGCAAATCATACTTCTTTAACGCTTATCTTTTTGTAGGTTTTCATTATTTAATAACCTGCAAGATGAATCGACTTTTTGGTCAGTCAAAATCCAATGCTGTACCTAAACCAACATTAAATGACACAGCAGCAACACTTGATTTACGTGTTGAAACAATCAATAAACAAATCGCTTCCATAGATCAAGGTAAACTTATTAAAATAATTTTTTCTATAAAAATTGTTCTCTCTTTAGAATTACAAGCCTATAATAAATTACCTCCAGCTAAAAAAGTAAAATTTTATTTCTTACATACAAATAAATATTTTTCTAAATCTTTAGGCAAGTCAAAAATCTCGAGCATTGGGTCTTCTCAGTAAAAAGAAAATGTAAATAACTTAAATTATTTGACTTATTTTATAAATAAATTACTTTAGGTATGAAAGACAACGTATGACAATAGAAGGTCAAACTGCTAATATTGGTGCTACCGCTTTTGCTGTTAGTAATATTTCAACACAAAAAGAAATGGTAGAAAATTCTTCATTATTGTTTATATAATTTATATTAATATTATTTTAGTATAATGGATTAAAAAATGCAAAAAAAGAACTTGCCAAAGGTTATAAAGATTTGAAAATTGAGAAAGTTGAAGTAAGTTATTTAAGCCATTAATATTTTTCTTGTAGTCCATTCAATGAATTCTACTAACACTTTGATTTCAAAAAAAATTAACTAATAATTATTTTTGTTACATTTATTGTAGTTTGTAACTGTTTATATATGATCAATAGTCTAAAAATTAAATTGATTTTCATTAGATCTTGAAAATTTAACTTAATTTCTCTAAAACTTTGACAAAATAATACCGCAAAAACTTCTCTATGCGAGTACCTCCTTATACTGGAAAGTCTTTAGTTCGTACAAGCAAATTTTGCTAAATATAAGCCTCTCAGATACGAGTACTTCCTTATTCTGAATAGTAGGTCCTTATTTCTGGTCCGATGAATAATAGCAACCTCTCTATTGTAAGCAACATATACTGTATCGCCCACGTACAGAACGAGAAAAAAATAGTTTTATGTGTATTGCGTTATGAAAAATAAGCATGCAACATAGGCAGAGAAGATGAACTAGCTGTAAATATGCAAAAGAGAAAACAGTAATATTAGACAACAACAACAACAGTGCTTGATTTAAGATCTTGTCTTTTCTGTGATAATAACTAGTAACATCAAATCATGTTGACATATTCTAATTTTCATCTAATTATAAGAAAACTGAATCAATAAATCATTGAAGAGAAGAAAAGGATCACCTTGTGTAGCCGCTAAGCGATTGGAATTGAGCACAAAAGATTGCAAAAATAATGAGTACTTATGGCTGACCTAATGATGCTCATGTTAGAAAGATTTCACTACATTGGTGATTCATGATGTAATAGAATTTCTAAATGAGCTATACGAAGAACATCATTCAGAAAGAAGCAATTTTTCATGTCAAAATATAGCTTGCAGTTTTGACGAACAACAATAAATCTAGTTTGATTAACTAATGGATTCTATTTTAAACCATCTAAGTACATCAATCATATTGAGATAGATTAATCGATATTGTTCACTTCAAATTGATGACTCATCAATTTGTAACTATTCATCACATAGCTTACCTGCGTTCTTCATCTATAGGTTTACAAAAAGCAAAAAAAAGTTTAAAAAATGGCTTGAGTATTTTTTCCATCTAGTTGCACTAAAAAACTAAAAGAATCAGTGTCACGCAATTTGGCTGCGTCAAAGTTTCGCCGATGCAGGTTCTTCATTTGTTGCTCTTGTTTTTCGAATAATGTGAGATTCTTTATGTGTTCATAATATTTCTTTTTTCAACGATGTGCAACAAAACATACCCGACTCACATGATTCAACAATGAACGTGACACATCGGTCTGCTGTTTCGTTGCACTACGAACAATTACGATAAGCAAGGTGCCATATTGCTGTTAAATACTAATCGATATTCTATTACCTTCCAAGTTTCAAAATTGTTTTAAATCACAAAATTTTAACATATTTTTTGTTTCGTTAGATAGTTTCACGATTTACATAAAATAATGGATTTTCAAGAATATCTCACTTTAGATTCTATTGCATCACAAGAAAACTTATAAATATTGTATTATTGATCAATACTTTATTCTATAGTAAATTTTCGACCATGAGATTGTAAAATTTATTGGTTATTGTGAAACAAGATTTAATAGAAATTTTCCGGTGGTGAGATGAACATCTGAACGCTTCCCTCACAGATCGTGACAAACATAATTATAGTACCATCGTCGACTTGATAGAATTCGACACGGAAATAAAGCCTTCTTTGCAATTGCTATGAAAGAAGATTGAATTAAAGATATCTATCTTTGAACCCTTTTTCAAATTGACTATAACAAATAACGAACAATATCTTTCGTCACAGAGATATCAGTGAATTGGAAGTAGAGCTGTTCATGATAGGGTAGAGTAAAGATTAGAAAATTTCTCTCAATTAGGCTATAAGATACGCGAAAAGCTTATCCTATACATCTTTAACGCAATTTTTTTTGTTATTTGTCACTTTTAGCATCTTCTGTCGTAGGTAGGATAAAGGGAGAGTGAAATAAAAGTTTGATAAGGGTTAGAAAATCTTTCTCAGTCAGACTACAGGATACCAGAAAAGCTTACTATAAATATCTCTAGTAAGAAGATCCAAACAGAAGCATACCTTAAAGAATCCTTTGATTTATAATATATGTAGATCAATCTTGTTTCATGATTTAATCTTGTAGCGATTGTCTGTCGTTATTGTTTCTTAACAATATATTTAGTTTTCATTTTTAGGCAGGAAATAAGTTTTATTGAAAATGATTTCTTCTTTTTGTTTTAGTCCCTTATGGATGATCTTGATGATCACCTTCTTGATCAAGATGAAATGAATGAAATGTTTAGTAGACCTATTGGTCAAGATACATATATGACTGATGCTGATCTTGAGAATGGTATTTTTTAAGAAGTCTCTTTTTTTTATTCATCAAATTTGAATCTCTTTACAGAATTAGCTGGTCTTGCTTCAGAAGAATATGATATTCAACCAAATGCAATATATGATCGTTTCTCTGCACCTAGTGTTCCTGTTCAACCTATTGATACTGGAAATCAAACAGGTCTAACAACAAAAGTCAGTATTTCTCATCTTCTTCTTATTTTTAATACTTATTTTTTATATTTCTACCAGAATAATATTATGGTTGATGAATTTGGTTTACCAAAACCTCCAGCAAGTGGAATGAAAAATTAAAAACAAATATTTGATTTTTATTTTTACAACTAATATAATTTTATAATTAAAAACATTTTTTCCAACATGACATTTTTCCCACAATAGACCATCTAATACATCGACATTTTCCTGAACAACATTGATAATCAGATGAACAAAAATTATTTGTTAAACGACAAGCCTCTTGACTTGAGATAGTTAAATGTGTACCAGGACTACCATAAGAATAATAGTATGAAGATGATATTGGAGCTGTAAATGATGGTGGATGATCAAGATCACGAATATCACGTGCAAATTGATCGAAATGAAAACGACGAGATTGAATAAATGTTGGAGATCTTTCACGATAACGTGATGATTTATATAATTCTTGAGAATATTCTTTTGCTGAATTAACTCGTGATGTTAATGGATTAACATTGAGAGTTGCAGGTCGTATACGCCCAGAAGATAGACCATGAAGTTCACGAGCTATAAAAAAAAATATTTTCTAATGATGAAATCCTTGATAAATTGAATTATTTACCTGCATCAAGTTGCCCTTGATTTATTAATATTATAAAAAAAGTAATGAATAGAATTGTTCGTATCATCTATTCTTTTTTTTCAACAGACACAATACCTGTACAATAAAATTGCTTTTTTTCTTCTTCTTCTCGATAGCACCCAACGTTCACAGAACGTGTACGAGGTCAAAATATTACCGTCGATATGATTGAGAACAGGTCATCTGTTCTTCTTTTCTCTCTCTCTTGCTGGTGAATTTTTTTTCTTTTTGTTACTTCAAATGATCACAAGCAAGTCAAGTATTTGATTAGTGTTCCTCTTAGGAAAAAACAAATTAATAATTGGTCCAACGATAATATATCTAAGTTTAAGAAAGTATTGGACAGAAAATAAAATCATTTGAATTGTTTAAAAAACGGATTATAAATTTCAAACAAATCTATATGTTTTTTGTGTTATATGAAGGTTTCTTTTGTTGTTGATTCTCCCCTTGTGTATTGATGATTTTTTGTTTAAGTAAAATCCAAAACTGAAAGTTAGGCTAATGTAGGAATAGTTGCCGATTCAGTTCCTTTTCAATTCGTTCACGATTAGTCGTTTATAAAAAAAAGGAAAAAAACGAAGTTGAAATGTATTCAATCACAGCTTGATAACTACGAACAAAATACAGCAAGATAAAATGCTAGTTGTCATCTTTCAGACTTTTGCTGAACGTCAGTTCTCGAGATCTTGTTAGGATAGCCATCACGTAATAGTTCAGTGCGATAAAATCAAAAAAAATCGAACGAATATTTTTTACTATGAAAAATAGTCGCGAAATCCTGAATAATAGAACAAAATCTAGAACTTCCAGGTGTAAATGTATAACTGACAGTAATTAAATCGATGTGATTAAGTTATGTGACTCAAGCAAGTTATACAAATATAAAAAGAAAAAAAGTAGCATTTCAGAAGTTATAATCAAGTCTGCCAAACAGTTGTAAACAGAAGTATTAATGACCGCGCCAGAAGTGAAGAGGGGTTGATGTAAGTGCAATAACTCGATAACGGTAACAGCTAGCAATCTGCGATTTTCACAAATTGAAAGGGAAGAGGTTGGAATATATTTTCTCCCGATAATGTATCAGACGAAATCCTCTTAAAACTGATCATCGTCGAAATACATGTAAAATAAACCATCAAAATGACTTGTCATCTAGATGAAATTTTGATTTTAACCTCTGATTTAGATAGAGGGACTTCATATATATAGTTCAATATACGTATCCGTGTTTTTTGTATTCGATGCTCAATCATTCATTACGAATCATGGAGGTTGATCTCATCATCCGCATGGGATTTCTTATTCGCGACCCCCACAATCACATCGTCGATCATCATAAGAAACAATTTGTTGAACATACACATAAGAAATGGTTTACTGTCTTTCGTGGTCAAGGATTATTGAAAGACGACTTTGATCGAATGGTAAAGACACAAAGTAGCCTTTTGTTATTTAATAATTTCTTATCGACCAGCACGAAAGAGCAAATATCCTTGAATTTTGCTTGTCAACCCATTTCAACGTCCGATCTTGTTGGTATGGTATTCGTCATGACAATTCGTCCGTCGATTTTGTCAACACCATTGGCTAACGTCAGTGATGTCAGTTATTTCAAAGAAGAAGAAGAAGAAATTCTCTTCTCCATAAACTCCATTATTCGTATGGATCCAATGAAACAAATCGATGAAAATAATTGTCGTTGGCAAGTCGACTTAACGTTGACTAGTGATAACGATCCATATCTCAATGCGCTTACTGAACGAATGCGAGAAGAGACCTATCCTGAGAAGGAAGGATGGGATCATCTAGGTAATTTATTGATTAAACTGGAACAGTTCAACAATGCTGAAGAGGTATATGATATCCTGCTTCATCAAACAAGGACTGATGCAAAAAAAGCATTAATGAATCATATGCTTGGCATGGTCAAAGATGATTAAGGTGAATATAAAGACGACGTTGCTTATTATAAAAAATCCATTGCAATCCACGAGAGGATTCTCTCACCAACGAATTTCAATTTGGCTGCTTCTTACAATAACATTGGTTCGGTGTATGACAACATGGATGACTATTCGAATGCACTTACATCTCATCAAAAAGCACTGGAAATCTTCCAATTTTTCATGCAGACGTAAACGTCATGGGATTAACAGCTATTGAATTGTCAAATCATGAATCCCTATTTTGCTATAGATAAACCATTTGTATGAACGTATGCTCATAAAGACCATAATGCTAAAAGTTAAGTATTATATACAAGTGTTTTGTTCGGAAGAATAAAAATTGCGAACGAATGCCTGAGAGTATTTTTAGATGCATTATGAAAAATTATTTTATTACAAGTTAGACTCGTCCTAGAAATTGCTGTTTCTCGTAACATCGAATGCACAATTGAGTTATGAACAAAATGGTGCATGCATTCTTTTTTTTCAGTGCTTCGACATTTTCTATTTCAAAAGTTTCCTCTCAAATACTTGTTCTAGCATTTTAGAAATTATATCAGAAGATGCAGAATTATGTGTAATTAGAATATTATCGCATATTTCAAATTTCAGTAGATTCGTTTCTAAAAATTCTCTATAATTGTTTCGTTTTTTTTTGACTTTCGTACTGATACAATTGATTAGATGTTAATCTTGTTAGTGTTTTGTAAAACTTACTGAAGAAGAATGAAAACTCATACTAAAGATTGTAAAACGTTTGGATTATATCAAGACATCTATCTTCCTGACATAGTTCGAACAACTTTCTAGCAACTAACCGTTCTCTACAACATCGCGACACAAAGTATAGAAGCCGAATGAGTACGTGAAAGACTACACAAATGCTATGCTTGGCACCGCATTATTTAAAAATAAAGATGGTTCAAACAAGTCCATGACAGAGGAGAAATTGTGAAAATACTAAGAATACAATTATTAATAGCCAACCGGTTATCGTTGTTAATAAAGAAAAAAAAATACCTTTATCTACCATCAGCGACTCTCAAAAATGTAATTGTCGCACGATCAGGTGCAAGAACAGCACGTTAAAGAACAGATACCTACAATGTAGAGGCGCTACTGTCAAAAGTTTCTAATAATACAAAATATCCCATTTTTTATTCGATACGCACTTATCCGATAAAATAACTGATAGATAAAAACAACCTTATTCAAAGAATTGACGCATTATCTTTCTATATACAATGGTATTAGAATTGCTACTTTATACATTTTTTATTTTAATCATCTTTTCTCTTACATTTATATATTGGAAATTTATTCGTCCAACAAAATATATCTATGATATACTTCGAAGTCAAGGTGTACGATCTGAACCTTTTATACCCATTATTGGTCAATTACCAGAACTACGTCGTTATCGTGAAGAAGGTCGATTATTAGGATATCATCAAAAATTAACCGAAAAACATGGATTAGTCTATTTATTTTTTCTTGGTCCATATACACGTCTTGCTATACAAGAACCTGATTTAATAGCTGATATTGTTGGTAGAACGTCTGCTCAAAATTATATTAAACCAGCTGATCTTAGTGTTCGTCTTAAACCACTTATTGGTATACATAATCTACTAGTTAGTAATGGACTAGAACATGATCGAGCACGAAAAATGCTTAATCCAGCATTTCATTTTAATAATCTTCAATCCATGGTTTCTATTATGACATATCAAACAACAAAAGCAATTGATATACTTCTTGAATCATCATCAACAATTAATTTGGCAACACTTTTCAATAACTTAACATTATCTATAATTGCTTCAAGTGCATTTGGTAGAAGTTTTGAAACAGTGTCAAATGCAAGAGATATTATTGCTCATGTATTTACTGAAGTATTAGCAGCTATTGCTTATCGTGCTTCACGGATGATTATAATAATTCCTATTATATCACAATTACCGTTTTGGCGAAAGAATATTGTTGATCAAGGTACTCGAGAACTGAATAATTTTGTTGATCAAATTATAACTGATAGAAGACAAGGACGATCACAAAGTTTATGTGCCGGTGCAGATATTCTTGATTTACTAATTTCTGCTATTGATACTCAAGGACAACCATTTACTGATCAAGAAATAAAAGATCAAGCGTTAACATTTGTATTAGCTGGTCATGAAACAACAAGTAATTTAATGGCATGGGCTATGTATGAATTAATGAAAAATCCTTCTGTATATCAAGCTTGTCAGAATGAAGTTGATCGAGTATTACTAAATGGCATGATTCCAACTTATGAACATCTTAATGATTTATACATCATTGAAGCTGTTCTTCAAGAAACACTTCGTTTATATCCTCCGGCACCATTTTTTATTCGACAATGCATCAACGAACAAATAATTGGATGTACAACTAATCATCCATTGCGTATTCCATCTGGAACTACAATATTGATTAATGCATATGCAGTTCATCGTCGATCTGAATATTGGTCACGACCGAATGAATTCGATTATACACGTTGGTTACGTGATCCAATAACTGGTTTAAAACCAAAATTAACTCATCCATTTTGTTATTTACCATTTGCTGCTGGACCACGAAATTGTATTGGCCAAAATTTTGCATTATTAGAAGCTAAAGTGATGTTAGCAATGTTTGTACAAAAATGTGATTTTGAATTAGAACCAGGACAAAAAATAATTCCTGAAATTCGAATTACTATGAGACCAAAATATGGTTTATTTGCCAAAATTACTAAAAGACAATAATATTGTTTTTTGTACTTTTTTTTTTAATGTTGAGTAAAAGTAAAAATGATTATAAAACATATAGGACAATGACAACGACATACTGGTCTAAACGATCAACATATGATAATTCTCGAGTACAATTTTTTCATTTGAGAATTGCTTAGTTCTTCTGATTTAATCATATTTTATAAAATTCAGCTATTTTCTTGAAATGGACTCCCCCTCCGACCGACAGAGTAGAATATTTGTGTTCTGTTTTTTTTGTCTGGACCAGTCTTTGCAGCAATTATTAATGAAAAAAAAAAAGTTGTTTTTTGAAGATGAAAATCTTTAAAACACAA